TAAACCCCTTTACTGTGTCTGGTGGTACGTGTCCTGCCACACTGCCTGGACTAATAGATTAAACCCCTTTACTGTGTCTGGTGGTACGTGTCCTGTCACATTGCCTGGACTAATAGATGAAACCCCTTTACTGTGTCTGGTRGTACTTGTCCTGCCACACTGCCTGGACTAATAGATAAAACCCCTTTACTGTGTCCTGGTGGTACGTGTCCTGCCACACTGCCTGGACTAATAGATAAAACTCCTGGTCTAATAACATTATAATGAATTCTCGCAGCATTGCACAATATCAGACTGACTGGGTTACCTGTGGTGAATACTAAATGTGAAACTAGCGGGGAGGGCCGGGGTGAAAGATGGAGATCAGTAAGAATAGAAGATAGTATTTAGTTTACGACATTGACAGACCGATCCTTCTTTATATATATATCGATGTTGTAGCTGCATCAAAGATGGCCAGCTATAGGCCGATTTCTCATCAGTTTGTTCTGGACGAAGCTCATCTGAGCTGCCCAATTTGTTTAGACTATTTTGAAGAGCCTAAGTCTCTTCCTAACTGTGCTCATAACATCTGTAAAGCTTGTATACAACGACTTGATAGAGGAACCGGAAGGATAGTCTGTCCCGAATGCAGAGTGGAATCTCTAATCCCTCAAAGTGGTGATTTTCCAACTAACTACTTATTGAAATCCCTTGTGGATGGTATTCCAGGAAGAAAGGAAAGCAAATGGCTGAATGAATCTCTATCGAAACATAAAGTAAGAATCGATACGCAAAGAAAAGAAACGCTTGAGAATTTTGATGTCCTCTCTCGGTTAATAGAAGAAGGACTGACGTCTCATGGTTTAAAGCTACGAGAACAAGTATCCAAAACTACTATAGAACTAATTGATYTTCTACGAATCCACGAAAAAAAGCTACATGAGAAAATACAACAGATATTGCTTGAAAAGACCAATGCTTGCCACGCACAGCTCGAGAAAATGCAAAGGAGCTTTTCTGATCGAAATGAAATTGTCGCAGATAAAATAGCGTATGTTGAAGAATATCTAGCCAGTTCTGACAGCCTAAAAATTGCTGAATCGAAGGACAAATTATCCGAAGACCTTGAAAATCTTTCCTTGGGATTTGAAGAAGGTCATCTAGATGAGCTTGTAAGAGAGATATTTGAGTTCAAAGATTTGAAGTTTGAAAAAGCAGAATTAGCAGATTGTGAGATACTTGTTGGGACCATTGTAGATCATTCCCGCCAAGGTAATATTCATATTGTAATAAACTTTTCCAAGAATTAAAGTTGCTGTAAGTTCTGAAATGGTTTCCTTCGTCGGCTCTTGTAAAAGCCATTTCATTGCTGGAATTTCCGCTTTTGTGATACGAAACTTGATAAACATTTTGAAATTATGAAAAAGGTAGAGTACAAACACTATAAGTGTGTAACATAAATACCACTAAATACTGCTAAATT